GATCCTACCTACCTTGCATGAGCCTGCCACTTCCCCACAAAAAAAAAGGATTTTGTTAATTTTCCTTTGAATAGTCTTTAATTTCTGTAATTGCTTGAATTACAGACATTAAGAAGATTAGGTTTAGAGCTAGGCAGACCCAGGTTTGAAACGGCTCTGCCACTGACCAGCGGTATGACCCTGAACAAACCCTTTCAACACCTCCAAGCCTCAGTGTCCTCCTCTGTAAAACAGGATGCCAGCAAAGGATTGTTGCAAAGACTGAATGAAATAATATATGCAAAGCACTTAGTATAGTGTTCCACACTTAGGATTGCCCATGAAAAAGTAAAAATGAGCTCAAACTAAGAAAGTAAAAATCTGCCCGGCCATTCATCAAACTGGAAGAATAGGCACAGATAAAGCCAGCTGCACAGTTAACAGGATGCAATGTTCCCTAAGGACATACTGCAGCTGTAAAGTGTCATAATAGCCGCTTTCTTCAAGTGACTACTGCTTTCCTACTCACTGCGAAACCTTGTTCTTCACAATCCTAAGTATCAGAAACTTTGAGGTTCATAACTATATCAGTAAGAATTATGTATCCACCTCTTGCCTGGAGAATCTAAGTCCTTTTTGACAGAAATGTAGCCTTGATTTAAAACCCAGGCATAGAGTTTTAGATAAAGGGGTTTCTGGACAAATATTCTGCATCTGTCTTAACTTTATTGTTTCCAAAGCAATAGAATCCTGGTTCCACCTTGCAGTCCAGATTGGATGTTGAACCCTTTACATAGCCTTGCTTTATTTTGAGCCTATAAAGGTACTGTTTTATTTAAATTGCATCTAAACTCTGCTGAAATTGACCACATCCTAGTGTGTGATATTAAGTAGGAATAGATATTACATAAACACAGGGTTTCATTTGGAGCATCTTAAAAATTTCTTTTTGACACTTTGAAAATATTATTTGTTAAGTTAGCTGTTGTTAAACAAATTGAATGGTTTTTGCCTCCAAATAATACTGATTTTGAATTGTTTCTTGGAGTTTCTTTCAGTTCTAGCACACTCTAAGCTGTTATTTGAGTGGCAAAACTTTTTGCACAGAAAGTTGATCTTTTTAAATTGAGGTGTAATTGACATATAACATTTTATTAGTTTCAGGCACACAACATAATGATTCAATATTTGTATACACTGTGAAATGATCACCACAGTAAGTCGTTACCATCCGTCACCATATAAAGTTACACATTGTTTCTTCTGATGAGAACTTTATTCCCTAAGCAACTTTCAAATATGCAATACAGTATTATTGACTATATTCACCATGCTGTATTACATTTCATGACTTACTTATGCTACAGCTGGAAGTTTGTACCTCTTGACTTCCTTTACCCATTTTGTCCACTCTCTAACCCCCATCCCCTCTGGTAACTGCCAGTCTGTTCTCTGTATCTGTGACATTGACTTTGTTTTGTTTTGTTTGTTTTGTTTTTTAGATTTCACATATAAGTAAAATCATACAGATTTCTCTTTTTCTGTCTGACTTATTTTACTTAGCATGATACCCTCAAGTCTGTCCATGTTGTCACAGATGGCAAGATATTTTTATGGCTGAGTAGTATTTCATTGTATATTATACCACTTCTTCCTTATCCATATATCCATCGATGGACACTTAGATTGTTTCCATATCTTGGCTATTATAAATACTGCTGCAATGAAAGTCTTCTCAAATTGATGTTTTTGTTTTCTTCAGACAAGTATCCAGAAATGGACTTGCTGGAACATATGGTAGTTCTAGTTTTAATTTTTTGAGGAATCTCTATACTGTTTCCATAGTGGCTGCACCAATTTACATTCTTACCAGCAGTCCACAAGTGTTCCCTTTTCCCTACATCTTCACTAACATTTGTTATAGCTTGTCTTCTTGATGATAACCATTCTAATAGATGTGAGGTGATACCACCTTGCAGTTTTGAATTGCATTTCCCTGATGATTAGTGATGTTGAGCATTTTTTCACATGCTTGTTGTCCATCTGAATGTCTTCTTTGGAAAAATGTCTGTTCAGATCCTCTGCCCATTTTTTAATCGGACTGGTTTGTTTTTTTTGGTTTTTGGTTTTTGGGGTTTTTTGGGTTTTGGGGGGGTTTGCTATTAAGTTGTCTGAGTTTTTTAAATATATTTTGGATATTAACCCCTTATTGGATATGACTTGCAAATATTTTCTCCCATTCAGTAGGTTGCCTTTTCATTTGCCTGATGGTTTCTTTCACTGTACAAAAGCTTTTTATTTTGAGGTGGTCCCATTTATTTATTTTTGCTTTTGTTGCATTTGCTTTTGGAGTCAGATCCAAGAAATCATCATCAAGACCAATGCCAAAGAGCTTACTGGCTGTTTTCTTCTAGGAGTTCTATGGTTTCAGGTCTTACATTCAAGTTTTTAATCCATTTTGAGTTAATTTTTGTGTATGGTGTAACATAGTGATCTAGTTTCATTCTTTTACATGTTACTGTCCAGTTTTCCCAACACCATTTATTGAAGACACTGTCCATTCCTCATTGTATATTTTGCCTACTTTATCATAAATGAATTGGCTGTACATGCATAGGTTTATTTCTGGGCTCTCTGTTCTGTTCCATTAATCTATGTGTCTGTTTTTATGCCAATAGCATACTGTTTTGATTATTAAAACTATGGGGCTATAGCATAGTATAGTATGATACTATACTATTGGCATACTGTCACCAGCTTTCTTCTTCTTTCTCAGGATTGCATTGGCTGTTCCAGGTCTTTTGTGCTTCCATACAAATTTTAAGATTGTCTGTTCTGTTTTTGTGAAAAATGCCATTAGAATTTTGATAGGGATTGCATTAAATCTGCAGATTGCTTTGGGTATATGGACATTTTAACAATATCAATTCTTCTAATCCATGAGAATGGAATATCTTTCCATTTATTTGTGTCTTCAATTTTTTTCATCAATACCTTGTAGTTCTCAGTGTACAGGTATTTTGCCTTCCTATTGCTAGGTATTATTATTATTTTTGATGCAGTCATAAACAGAATGATTTTCTTAATTTCTCTTTCTGATAGTTTGTTGTTAGTGTATAGAAATGCAACCAATTTTTCATATTGACTTGGTACCCTATGACTTTACTGAATTTGTTTATTAGTTCTGACAGCTTTTGGGTGGAGTCTTTAGGGTTTCCTAGTTATAAAATCATGTCATCTGCAAATAGTGACAATTTTACTTCTTCTAGTTGATTTTTTTAAGTCAAATAAATAACATTATGTCATCTTGTTCTGTTATCAAATAACAGGATTTCTGGTCTCTTTCTCAGGTCTTGTTGATTAGTTGCTGTAACTTTATTCCTGCACATTACACAGCAGCTTTTTTCTAAAATATCCTTAGTTTCTATGTTAGTCAATTCACTTGTCAGAGCTAACTACTTAGCACACCATCTTGCTTCATGCTTGGTAGAGAATTCTCCGGTGATATATGCAGCTCCAGTGTGTCCTGGACCCAATGGCAATTAGGTGTGATCATGTTTAAAAAGATAATCTTTCATGTATAACGGAAAAGTTGTGCTCTACACTGGGATTTGACACACCTTTGTAAAATGACTATAACTCAATAAAAAAAGTTTAAAAAAAAAGATAATATTTCTTTTCTGAATGATCCCCTCACACCTTTTAGTCTCAACAACTGTCCTGCTTCTCCTAAGGTGGACATTACCCATTGACACTAATTGTAACTAAGAAGATGAAGGTACCATGAAATTCCTTTGGTTTTTACATCTGAATTTTGGGGATTATAGTCTCTGTGACGGACATTTTGGTTATCATTTTTCACTACTAACCGCACAATGCAATGAACGCACTATCCTCTATTTTCCCAAGCATTAACGACGTAAAACACAGGCATGCCTCCCCAACATATGTAGGCTTCAGTCGGACTTGCTGTAGTGGCTGCTTCTCACTTTTGAAGTCTGAATGTCACTGTCAGTTGTATATGTAGGACTGGATTGGCAGTGGCCTGTGTTGTGTGCTTCAAGAGATGCCAGACATACCCTCACGCCCAAGCTTACCAGAGTGCCTGCTACTTCAACAACAGAGATTCATTCCTTTGGGTTTGTAACTTGCTATCTCTGGATGATCCTTTCAACCTATGTTTCTCCTGATATGATTATCATAGAAAATTAAGAGCATACAGAGAACTTGATAAATGAAAACAGACATTACCTGTAGCTCATGGCTCAAGACTCCACTGTTGTTAACATTTTGGTATTTCCTCCTTTTCCTTTCACATATATGAAGTTGAAAAGATAATCTTCTTTTTGGAAACTCTTTTGTTACGATTTAAGCAGCCTTACAGTAAAAGAAATCTGATGAATATAAATTCCAAGCATTTCTCTAAATTTACTTCTGGTTCTTCATTCATTCAATAAACATTGGCTAAATACCTACTACAAGCAAAGCACTGAGCTAGACACAGATTAGTGATATAGAATCGCTGTGATATATATGCCTTATCAGTATATAAAAATTCACGTGTTCTTACAGATCAGTAATCAGACATGTAATCAGTACGTAAACTAAAAAAGAAATCAGTGCATAAACTATTTTAGATTCTAGTTTCATTTTCCAACATTACATCTTGTAGATTACATACATGCCCCAAACTTTTTGGATTTTAAGGGTTGTAGAGTATTCGGCTGTATTGATTTCACCATTCCCTATTATTGCAAATTTGGGGTACTTTCTCTTCCCGCTGGGTATTTTATCCTCCCTCTTGCTTTTAGAGTCTTTCCTCAGATGTAAATCCTCAAAGGAAGTTCAAAGGAAGTTGTCAAACCATAGGGCATAATCATTTATTTGAGCAAACCTCTTTTAGAATTCAAATAGAGGAGGAAGAGCAAATTACACATGCTTTTTTTATTTTTTTAAGTGTTTTGGGGGGGTTGGGAGGTAATTAGGTTTATTTATCTATTTATTTGTTTGTTTATTTTTAATGGAGGTACTGAGGATTGAACCCAGGACCTTGTACATAATAAGCAGACACTCTACCACTGAGCTATACCCTCCCCCTACATGTGCTTTAGACTGCTCACAATTTAGGTCAAGCAGGTGGTTTTCTTCCTATTTGGGGGAGGTGGGGGCACTGAAACAGGTAAGTATCACAGAGGGAAGTCATAGGCCAACAGAGATGAACTTTACCCTCTTCATAGTTCAGCCTGCCTTTCTGAGAGCAACAGAAATGGTTACTAGGAGTTATGCCCTTTCCACAATTATTAGGTTAGATTCCACAAGCCTGCATGGGAGCTCACTGAGGGCAGGGCCCTCCACATTCAGCATAAACCTAACACCCCTTGTCTTTCATTAGATTTGGCTTTCAGAAGAAGAACCTGCACTACTGCACTTTAAACACTGGTAAAACTAACAGCTATTGTTACACCAATTCATTCTTTCCTATCTGTGCTGACCAATAGTGACTGAATTTTCCCATGAAGATGGGGCCTCCCAGCTGTTGATGCTGGGGAACAGGACCTCTGTGAAGGCAGCTGATACAGTGAGAGCTCATGGTGATACCCACTAGTGCCCTGCTGAAAACTCCCCCGGCAGGACCTCCTGAGGGCATACTCACTGTGGAACCCCCATAACTTCGGTGGGTCTGGCCATGCCCTGGCCAAACCTTCCCTGCACTCACACTCACTACTGAGCTGCAGACAACAGCAGATTCAAGCGGGCAGCTGTGGAATCTTCTGGGTGGCTACCTGGTGCAAAGTCCCCCTCTTTCAGCTTGGTGGGGTGGACACATTCCTCCTTCCCTCCCACCTTCCAAGGCTGCCCAAACTCTCCCACTTGGGCAGAAGAAAGGGATAAGAAAGCAGAGTAGGGGAAATTACTAACTATACTTCCTCAGTCCTAAATGCAGGCTGGCAGCCCCTAAGGTTTTAAATACAAGAATCATAAGTAGAGATTTCATCCAGAGATTCATTCATGCAATCATTCAGTAAATATTTATTAAGAACCCAATGTGTGCTAAGCATTATTCTAAGTGTCAAAGATGCAGGGGAAACAATTTCTGTCCTCAAAAGCTTACATTGTGGAAGAAATAGACAACAAATGAATAAATAAGTAAATGAGGAGAGGTTTCATCTAAGTAGAATATCTAAAGTAGAAAAAAAATATATATATATATATTTAGCATCAGTGCTAAAATAATCCAATGTACTAATCACTCTGGATTACTCTCAGAACTTCCCTCCAGTACCAAACTGAATAAAATCTATGAATGTTCTTCATTTCAATTGAACAAACTGAACACTTACTTCCTACGGTAGCTGAGAAGCTATAAGGACTGAAAAAGAGAGGCTTCCTGCCCTCAAGGTACTCACCTTCTAATAGGGAAGTTTCATGTATTCAATTAACATGATAGTTGGTGCTTGTACCATATAGCTCCTTTTTGGAAAGGGAAGTATACATATTTCCATTTGTGGAGCTAGCATGTGTCAAGGATATGCTTCAAACTAAGCATACCCTGGGTGCACAAACTCAGAGCCTGCACACAGCTTCTTGTTCCAAGTGTCTATAGCTTACAATTCCAGAAAAGACGTTCTTTTGCCCCTCTACTCTCCCCCGTTGCCCAGCCTCATCACTGCCCTCCAGCCTCTCCTTAAGCTATCAGAGAGTGTGCTGTCTCCTCACTTTCCTATTGTCCCTAGGGTCAGGAGAAGCTGGGGACACTCTCTCCCTTGGCTCTTCTCTCCTCTAATTTCCTACACTCACAAACTCATATAAGGCAGGAAGAGATCTTGACGCAACTTACTCATATTACAGATAATGCAGTTGAGACCTGGAGAACCTAAACGACTTGTCCAAGTTCAAACAACTAGTTAGTTGCTTCCTGCAGGAGGGATTTTGGCTGGGATGAGTCTGAGGGAAGGCTTTCTGAGACCAAGTGTCACAGATTTAAAGGGTCTTGCTTGCCTGCTGCTTGCTGTTGGCATGGAAAGGAAGAAGAGCCCTCGGTTGGCCAAAAAGAGGTAACACAGAGAACAGTAAAATCACCTGGCCACCCAGAGAAGTAGGGGTGGATGCATGATTACAAGGCATAAAGGAGTGGGCACTGGGAGGTCAAGACTAACTCGCATGTTGAGATCTATTGTTGGAGAGAAATGATGGCAATCAAGAATTTCAATGAACACGCCTTTTCCTTTTCGTTTGGTGGCAGCCATCAGGTGAGCCGAGATGGGTGCTTACAAGTACATCCGGGAGCTATGGAGGAAGAAGCAGTGCGATGTCATGCGCTTTCCTCTCAGGGTGCGCTGCCGGCAATACTGCCAGCTCTCGGCCCTGCACAGGGCCCCCGCCCTACCCGGTCCGATAAGGCGTGCCGACTGGGATGCAAGGCCAAGCAAGGTTACGTCACATACTGGATTCGTGTGCGCCGTGGTGGCCGCAAACGCCCCGTTCCTAAGGGTGCTACCTACGGCAAGACTGTCCACCATGGTGTTAACCACCCGAAGTTTGCTCGGAGCCTTCAGTCTGTCACCGAGGAGCGAGCTGGACGCCACTGTGGGGCTCTGCGGGTCCTGAATTCTTACTGGGTTGGTGAAGATTCTACATACAAATTCTTTGAGGTTATCCTCATTGATCCATTCCATAAAGCTATCAGAAGAAATCCTGACACTCAGTGGATCACCAAACCAGTCCACAAGCACAGGGAGATGCCAGGGCTGACATCAGCAGACCGAAAGAGCCCTGGGCTTGGAAAAGGCCACAAGCTTCACCACACAATTGGTGGTTCTCGCCGTGCAGTTTTGAGAAGGCGCAATTCTCTCCAGCTCCACCTTTACCGCTGATATAAGTAATGTTTGTAAAATTCTTACCTAATAAACAATTTAAGACATTCATGTCTGCTTAAAAGTGGTTTTTAATTTGTCTGTTAAAAATTAGTTGTCTGCATGTTGTTTCCTGAATGCATTGTTAAATTATGAAAGTTAAAAGTGCAATAATGTTTAAAGACTAAGTGACGGTGTATCTTGTTTCTAATAAGAGAAATGCTTTTGTCTTTGCTTTATCTTATTAGGGAGTTTATATGTCAGTGTGTAAAATGCTGTTTGCTACAATGGATGTAAAATAAGTTCTGTAAAAGAGGAAGTGCAGAAATTAGCCCTGTAGATTTGTTGGTGCATGTGATGAAACCTACAGCTTTTTGGATGATGCAATGCTCTGCTGGTTTACTCTAAAGTGGCTGTCTTATGGAGTTTGGCAAAGACAAACTTTTAAAATTGGATTTTCCTTGGAAATGTGAGAGGTGTCCTGATCCTTTACCATATGTGGAAAAAAAGTTCACTAAGGGCCCACATTTTTAGATGTCATCTACTATTCCATTTATGTAACTGCCACTTCTGAAAGGAGGAAAGAAAGAATGCCACCATTTTTAAGAGAATTGAGTAAACCTGTTGCCAGAGAGTTCTCACAAATCAAACAAAATCTGGTTAAATTGCCTTGGCCTCCATGGTACCATTGATCACATAAAAGGTGGAAGCTCCTGGTTCAATCTCATAAATAACTGGGATCTCTAGAATACTGAATTTCATGCAAAGTAGTAATGTTATTTACACTGCTATGTATTGAAACTGATGAAAATTGAACATTAGGTGAGAAGGGAATTACTAGCCTTAAGGTTTGTAAACTAGTAATGCTAGGATTGGGAAATTGGTATTCGTTGGATACCTTTTGATTGTAGGAGGATATAATAAAACCTGGATCAAAAAATTTTAAGTGTTTTATCTGTAATACTACTTTGTGACCATTTTGAACCCTCAAGCTACCTTGGGGGGGGGATATGGTTGGTTTTGTTTAACAGTAACATTACTAGGTCTAATCAATGTCATCTTGGGTCAAGCCACTTTATCCATTTCCATAAGGCTACTGAGAACAGTCATGTAGTTGGTGTCAATACAAGTTCATGGTTTCCAATCTAAAAAAAAAAAAAGAATTTCAATGAACACAAGAGGATTATCATTTCAGTAGAAGGGAGATGTGACATGTTGGTAGACAGAGGGAAAGATCATTTATTAGAAAAGATTGAAGTTGCAAAAAAGAAAAAGAGTTGACCAAGCAAGGTTTGAGGGAAGTGAATAGGGATGAGATAAAAGCCACAAGTGGGGACATGACTATTTGACTCTGAAGTCCGTGAGGACAAGGACCATATCAGATTTTGCTCACCATTGTGTCCAGTACTTGACACAGAGTAGGAATTCTATGATATTTGTTGGAGGAATAAACAAATGAATGAATAATAAGGGAACCATCCCCCCCCCAATGCTGCACTTATGTACTGAGTAGCAAAAGTTCAGGTCCAAATAAAAGAAGAAAAAAAAAGGCAAGAAGGAGGCTGAAATATAACACAGATGCCTGCTTTGGCCTCTTTGGCCAATGTACTGGATGACATCTGGGAAACCAAGACAAATTGTCAGCAGTCACTGCCATATAGAGAAACTGACAGTTCTGGTGACTTCAGTGCTGATGTTAATTGGAACTGTATTCTACAGCATACAGTTATTTATCATTCTGAGTTCTGAATGCCAAGTGAAATTTATCATGTAAATCTTTATATGAGGACACTGAATAGCAGAGTAGCTGGTGCCCTTGATAGAAATTCTACTGAAAAAGATAAATAAAAAAAACATAGATATGCACAAGGGTGATACTGAACATATTTAACAACTGGTATGACACGGAAGCCAACAGACCAGCCCTCAGCAACCCACAGAGCTGCCTGTGCACACTGACAATCAGGACTGCATGACCGTGTTTTTATTGATGGTGCTGAGAGAACAATAGTGCTGTTTTTAAAAGGCAGTTCTACTGAGTGGAAGGGAAAGTGTTGCATGCTCTCAAAACAATGTCTTCCCCACAAATTCTTAGCCTGAGGCTTCTCTGTCCAGTAGAGAAGAACTTTACTCACTGTTTCTTCAACTTTGTCCTTCAGACTTCAGCAAACCGTGATCCTGGCCACTTGCTTTAATCTCTGCTTTATTGACTCTAAGTCCTGAGCCAGCCGCTCCTGGACGAGGCCTGCCCTTAGCTAATCCGTGTGCTGTTTACCTTCACTAGCCTACAGTTATCCCCAATATCTCCCATCCACCCTGGTCATGAACGTAACAGACTCAGTTCTTGACAAGACTTACCACAGAAAAGACTCAAAGAAAATTTTACCACATAGAGGACCAATGGTTGAACACTAAGTTTCAAGAAGTTGCACGCTGATGATTCTACTCAGAGATAAGATTATAATCACCTGAGTTTCCTGTGGGTCATTACAGACTCCACCTAATTTTAAAAGATGGAAAACCAAATACAGAGATGATACGCTTCGATTCATTGCTTAAGGAAATGTCTTCTTTGTGTCTTATATTGTATTTTGTGCTGTAACACCAAAGGCAGCACACCTGGTGGACTGCCTTTGAAAATCCAGGAATGCATTAGTCAACAACTACAGGCAATTGCCACATTGTTTAGCCTCCTATGGAAGGTGTAACTTATTCCACAGGATTTTTTTTAAGTGTACAATGAAAGGTTTTTAGTATATTTACAGATATATGCAACCATCACCACAATGTTACAACATTTTCATCACCTCAAAAAAGGAACCCTAACCCCTTTCACTATCTCCCAGCTGTCCCCACTCCTAATCTCACTGCCAGGCTTAAGTAGCCACTAATCTGCTTTCTGTCCGTGAATTTCCCTGGGCATTCATATAAATGGAATCGTATAATTTGTGGACTTTTGTGTCAGGCTTCTTTCACTTAGCACAATGTTTTCAAGGTACATCCAACTTGTAGTATGTATCAATATTTTATTCCTTTTTATGGCTGAATTAATAGTCCACTGTCTGGATATACCACATTTTGCTTATTTGTCCTTCCATTGGTGGACATCTGGGTTGTTTCCACCTTTTGGCTACTATGAATATTCCACAGGATTACGATTACCCAATCTTTCAACAGGGTTACGGGCTATTCAACAGGGTTATGGCCACCTCCAAATTCGTATGCTAAAATCCTAACCCCCTAGTACCTCAGAATGTAACTGTATTTGGAGGAAGAGCCTTTACAGAAATGCTTAAGTTAAAAAGAGGCTGTAAGCATGGGCCCTAATCCAACCTGACTGGGGTCCTTATAAGAAGAGGAATTTAGACACACTAAGAGACACCAGGGATGCGCACATGCACAGAGGAAGCACCACGTGAGGACACAGTGAAAAGGAGGCCATCTCCCAGCCAAGGGAAGAGGCCTTAGAAGAAAACAATCTGTCAACACCTTGATCTTGGACATGCAGCCTCCAGAACTGTGAGAAAATTAATTTCTGTTGTCTAAGCCCCCCAGGCTGTGGCATTTTGTTATGGCAGCCCTAGAAGACTAACGTGAACAGGTACTTATTGCAGGCCTAATGTGCGTGGGCTACAGTGACAGTCTCCCCAGTGAGGCTACAACCAAAGACAGGACCTAAGTCTTCTATTTCTTTGTGTCCCCCAAGTGTCCCCTTCACAGAGTAGGACCTCAGCACCAATATTTTAAAGGATAGTATAGAAAAACGTCTAAGACATACTCACTACCTTCACTACTGCTTGAAAACCAGTAGTAGAGATTAGGCGGGCACGGCAGAGTATCTAGACAATCAGGAGGGGATTGTGGGCAGCGGCTGTCCAGCACATATGTAGGGTGCTTGATGGCTGGGATTCTGACAGGGAGAGAAGTAGGGGCCTTCCTGGGACAGAGAACAATGTAAGCAAAGGCAGAGAGCTGGGAATGCTTTATTTCCTATTAGCAAGAGAGTAAATAATTGTTCCAGCTAGAGTGGCATGCTCGTAGAAAGAAAATATGCAGTATTTTGGAGAATTTTGAATGCCAGTCTTAGGCCTCAGGACTTGATCCTTGTCCTAACTCCCTTTGGGAACTAGGAGACCTCAGATATTAATCCTGCTGGGTTATGGGAATTGAGGCAGGGTAAGAGGGAAGGCAGGATTGGCATGTGCGACGGCAAAGTGCGTGGTGGAGGAAGATCAAGACAGAGCAAACTGAGGCATGGCTAGGATCTAGACAAATGAATCAGAGAGGCAGAACTAGTTACGAGGAAACCAGAGTGACCTGGAGGTGCTGAGGGAGGGCAGGGTCTGAAAGGGAGGGGCGAAGCAATGCCTTGGAACCCAGAATATAGCACAAGAGCTTTATGGATGCCTTGTCCAGAGTAGGGAGGCTGCCATTAAGAGGATGGAAACATTCTGGACAATAGGCAGTTGATGAAGAGGATCACTGAAGCCCAGAGGCCAGAGGCCAATACAATGGTATTTTAGAAAAATCTAATGAGTAGTACTGAAGAACCAGAGTTAGAAAGCATAACGTATCAAGACATGATTTGAAGGTCCTTAATTTCAATGCTTTTCAATTTATTGACTTTTATGGCTAGCACTTTAAGCATACCATTTGAAAATTCTTTGACAGAGAAATTGTAGTAACTGGAAAAAATAGTGGTAGGTTCATAGAAAACTAAAAAGAATTTAAACAAAAAAAACATAGCTTTTAGTTAACTCGGGAAAAAATTGTACTAGAAACAAAACATAATCATAGTATTTCATTGGGTTCAGCTGTGAAGATTTATTTATGCAATGATCATCATAATATAATCACTGACTACTTATTTCTCCAGAAATCTGTGAGGGGACCCAATAAATAACAAACACCTTCCCAACCTGAGTTCTGGATAAATTGAGAAGTAAAAGGGAAGTTAAGATATTGCCTTTACTATAATTGAGAAAGGCCAGGTTGGAGAGTGTAGTAGCATCAAGTCTTTTTGCAAAGGGGGATGGTTAAACAGAGCCAGACTTAGTGAGAATTACCCCC